TCCAGCCCACGTTCGATGAGGTCTCGGCGACACCGTTCTTCCAGAACGTTTTGCAGTGGACCGACGCAGTCGACAAGACGCTACCTGACGATGTGGCCTCGCTGACGCCAAAGTCTCGATTGTTTCTGCGGCAGTACACGCAGTACACGGCTGCCCTGACCGAGCTGGCGTTGCGCTCTATGGACATGGCCGCCGAGCTCGACCCGGCAGCGTATCGTGTCGAGTGCGGCGAAGACAGCGGCTTCTTGCTCTACGCACGGCTATCCGAGCGCCAACTCGCAAATACCGAAGCAGTTCGTGTCGCTGAAGCCGCCGGTCGGTACTTTAAGAACGCTCTTGCCGACGCGTCGTGCTCGCCGGTGACGACTCTGCGCGTGCACTACATGCTCGGGAAGCTCGGGAAGAAGATTTTGACGCTGCACAACGAGCGCCATCTTTCCTCGTCCTGGCGCTCGGTGCTCGAGTCGTTTGCAAACGCTGACAAGGCGCGCGTCGATGACGACGCCGACGAGTACCTCGTCCACGCCTTTCACCTGCTCCACGCGACACGCCTCAAGCTGCTGCTCGCGCCAGTACCTTGTAAGTTCAATGGAGGGATACTCACCCGAGTTTTAGGTGTTGCAGCGATGTACGCCGGCGACTGTGCCCGAGCTTCGCCACGCACCGCTGCCTCGCCTCGACGAAGCCTTGCCGTCAGCCGAGATGCTGGCGTTGATTGAAGCGTTTGCGTATGGAAAGGACGATGCGACCCCTGTGGTTCTCGAGACGGACCCGCGCAAGCGGTTTCAAGCCGCGCTGGAGAACTGCGTCTCGGCCCTCGAGGTCGTGCCGCAGGAAGACAAGTACTTTCACCCGGCATACTTTAGCCTTGCCCGCGGTGTCTTTTACGCCGGCGCAATCGTTGAGGACGAGACCAAATACGGGGCCGCCGCAGCACTCAAGGCGATGAAGCCACTCTTTGATAAGAAGCGGTCGCAGATCGTGTCCGTGTGGCTCTCCGAGTCGGACACGCACAAACTCGACGAGCTGCACCAGACGCAAGCCGCGTACGACAAGCTCCGGCTCAAGTATCACCAGTTTTACATGCATTTGCTCACGGCCGGCGGCGACTATGCGGTAGTAGTCTCATTGATGCGAAGGACAGCGTCTTGACACTTTATCTAGCGCATCTGTGAGATAACCAACTGGATCACGAGCAGCAAGGAAGAACACTGGGTGCTCGATGCGATGTTGGCGCAGGCACTTGTTGCCCGGAGCTACCTCGCGCGTGGTCGTGTGCTGGACATGTACATGAAGTGCCTCTTTCCGCAAAGCGACGACGAGCCCGCGTCTGCCAAGGCCGTGGCGCACCTGCACCGCATGTACGGCGTGTACATGGAGTCGCAAGATGCGTGGCAACGCGCACGTCCGTACAACCACGGGTACGCTCCAATGGCAAGATCTGAGTGGTCTGATGCAGTCTAGGTCGAGCATGGGTAGCTGGCTCTGGGAGGTGACCATGGCGTACGCTTTGGCCCAATCGTCACTGATCGAGTCAGGCGCGGACCTTCTCGGTGTCGTGGCGGTCGCGCATGTCAAGTCGCACCTCGATATGCGGGACCCATTGACGACAAACGAGACGAGCCTCCTTGGTCTCCACCTCGAGCTCAAGATGGAAGACCGGCGCGACTGGGCCGACTTGGTTGACAACACGCTCGCGTATTGCGCGACGACGTGGCCCGAGAAGACGAAAAGCAACAAGTCCAAGCTGCCGACCCCCAAGACCAAGCCACACCTGACGCTGGCGTAGATTTCCTTTCTATTGCATCCAAGACGAACATTATCAAGCTGTTGTATCTTCTACCAGAGCTTGTGGTTTGCAGAGTATTGCTGCTCCGGCGAGCACCCGTCCCAGCATTGTAGTCGATGTTTACCCATTGAAGTCAGAGAAGCCAGCAGCACTAGCGGTGCGGACAAGGCGTCCACGTCGAACGATTTTATGGGCACGTAGACATGGGTCACTCAAGCCACATATGATCCGCGCGGAGGCAGATGAGTACCGTCACGGAGTGACTATTTGTGACCGCTCGAGCGGACCGTGACCCAAACGTCCTTGGCATCACCAACGGCACTGACAAACCACGCTTTCGACACGCCCGCTCATCGCCGCCGCTTGCACGGGCAACGACCTGGTCGTCCGTAGGCGCATCCTCTACGACCAACACTTCGCAGCTCATCTGCGTCAGCATCTTCTCGAGCACGGGGAGGCGCGGGAGCAGCGTCGCCAAGTCCATGAACATATCTTCATCAACGTGGCTCAAGCCCAGCGCGGTCGCATGCTTGTTGAACAGCTCTACCGCGAGGTTGAGCGCATCTTCGTCGGTCGCTCGGTTGGCTTCATGGAGGTGCATGGAGGTCTCGATGACTTGAAGGGTCCCCCCTCGTCCTTGGTCGCGGGGCTCATGGAGCGCTTGTTCTTCTCCTGCGCGGAAAAAACGAAACGTGAAATGGATTTGCGGGGCAAAATATCCTCGGCATCTGATTGGCTTCGAGTCATCATGACGTGGATTGCTCTCAGGCCTGCGTGGGTCAAACACCCTGGCGCTCCGAGGATGCAATGCATCGATATTTTCCTGGACTCGAGTCGTGAAGCAATGCAACATCGAGACGCTGCATAAACCTAACACGACGTCACCGCTGTAGTCTTGTCTACCGGGCATGCAAGTTGCACACCAGTACACACGACGTTCTCTCTTCAGCGGCCGCCGTCCTGGTGCGCGAGGCTGTCTTGGCCCATGGGATGCTGCCCGTCGAATGCGCGTAAACACTTGGTACTCAGAGTCATACTTGGAAACGAATCCCGCGCAGCTAGCGAGTGCGGACGTATCGTCGCTACTGCTGCTACCAATAAATCGAGCTGCGAACCCGCCTACCTAGATGTTGTCGTCGCTGCAACTGTCGGGCTTCGAACTCTCGTCAAGATCTACGATTGCGCTGTTGTCGGCACTGTGCGTTGCGCTGCGCATGCACCCAGATTCGTCGATCGTACGCGCTCTCGGCACTGGCCCTCGCTCGCGTGGTCTGCTCCTCGCTGGATTTTCCAAAACTCGATGCTGGCCGCAGTGATTGCCACTGTGTGCGCTTGGCACAAAAGTGACTTGTTGACGTGGTTATATACCAAGAGGCAGTGTACGTTGAACTGGGTACTTTGTTCTAGGCTAGTACGCTTCTGTGCGGAACGAACGTAGCTCCAGACCGTCGGTGATGGCGTCAATGAGCATCGTATTGAAGGCAGCGGCGTTGTCCATAAACACTTGGTGGCCGGCGAGGGGCACCTTGCGCAGAGATGCATACTGCGTGGTCTTGAGTCGGTCGACAACGTCTTGGCCGTGGTTATAGTCCATCCAGTCCGATCCACCGCCATACCTAGTACATCTCTATCACAAGCGTCCTCGACGGAGCCATTTCGTTACGCACAGAAAGGTCACGGGCATCTTGATTTGCCCCGGAAGCAGGTCGTCCCGGAGCGCCCGCTTGCCAAAGGCGCCCTACAATACCAGCCTTTGTGAGCGACTGCAAGAGGTACTGTCGATTCGTACCGGCAAGAGGTGCGTGTTCATGGCCACGTCGCCCGACTTTTTCAGGGCCCAGTTGTGGTAC